CTCTGCGCTATGACGCCGAAGCACTGGAGCGCTGTGTTGCCACTCGTTGAGTTCGCCCTGAACAATGCAGTGCATTCATTTACCGGCTATACGCCGTTCTACGTAAACGAGTTTATTTCATCCTCGCGTCCCGCTGACGCCACCATTCCATGGCGCAGGGCTTGGTGGGGGAGGAGTAGCCAAAGGGCTAGCTGATGTCAGCCATTTCGCCGAGCGTAAAGAGGTCGGGGACTTCCTGTCTACTAGATTAGTACGTTCGCGATGCGATTGCTGAAAGCCAAGACATGCAGAAGGAAAAAGAAGAAAAAAGGTTGAAAGTATTAAGGTTGGAGATCTGGTTTTATTAAGCGCGAAAAATCTTTCTACACATGTAATTTCTGCTGTCTTCAAGACAAATCTCCGTCCACGATTCACTGGACCTCTTAAGGTCGTGGCCAAGTGAGGCCTAGCGTATACGCAGAACTTTCCGAAAAGAATGCGCACCAACCCGGAAATTAACGTGGTCTTGTTTAAGCCGTACCGGTATCCGGCGCAAATAAACGCGAAAGCGTTGGCGCTGAAGCGGCGCCCAAGGGTGCTCGGTCACCCAGAAGCTGGACCAACAACTAGTCTGAGCACTGAGTGCAAAAACGTTTGTTTCCAACGGCACAAGGTGCTCCACCGTCGCACGAAGTGACGTATTTGCCTGCTCGACGGCTAGGAGCCGCTTTGGGAGAGCACAGATATTCCTAACGTGAGGCATTCGGTGCACAAAGTGCTCCAGGCTGTTGAGGTCTTTTGCACAGCGATAGGCGACCTAGGAGAGATGCTCGGCTGAGTGCCAACGATGACGGACTTTGCCATCGAACGCTCGAAGAGCACCGCGAGTCACCGGACGGCGACCAAGTTGTCATTGTTGGCCGCTGGCTCTTCTCGATGAGAATAGTGGCGTCCAGTACCACGTGGAACGCCTTGTGGGTCGACGTCGTCGACAGGGTTAAACCCAATGTCTTGTAAACTGGCGGGGTTGCCCAAACTCCGATAACTAGTGGGAGTTTGAGGTGCCACTTTGACAAGATTGTCCAAACGTCTTAGACGCTTATGATCGGAAGAATCTGGACGCTTCGCGTCGTCGTGCGCACAGCACTTATCGGCAGTAGCCGGAGGGTCATGAGCCTAGCCCAAGCTATGCCACTGAGCCGCTGTGGTCGTAGACTCAAACGTGTCAGAGACCACAGGGAGCGTTTTGGATTGTTCCATATGTCACAGGACGACAATACGCAGGATGTCGGCGTTGCGCCTTGAGTTTGGCAAACACAAATCGAAGATGGCGCTCAGCGCGCTCGTCCACTTCCTTGTGGCTTCGCTGTATGGTAGACAGCGAAGTTAGTTTCCGGTGCCGCTCCACCCATGGCTCAAAGATCTCATCGTCATCTGCAGCGTTTTGCAAGGGGCGAGCACCACAGGGATTACCCGCATTTCGGGAACAGAGGCTCCTCCTTCCTGAGCTCGAAGTCGAGCGCGGTACCACTCTATTGGAATATCTTGTGGTACCAAAAAACGAGCTCGCAGAGCTTTCCGCTGATCAAGATCAGCTGGTGTAGTGCCGACTAAGTAGACACCTAACGATCGAGTGATCGCGTCTTTCGCTTCTGTAGCGGAATCCGCCGCGTGGAAGACGTATACACGAGTGTC